AAGAGGAAACTGGAAATTCATTCCAAAGTCCATCTCCAGTATTTTGAATGTTGATCAACAGCATCCTCTCTGAATGAGTAAAAAGAAAAGATGTAATGCTGGTTCAGCCAGACCCACTGAGTGGCACTTTGCCATGATGATTCACTTTGCCTGGGAGCAACTTACACCCTTTGTGAAACTAGGTCCCGTCGGTTGAAGGAAGAAAAAGACTCCTCCAGAGCTGTCAGTCACTCTTTCAGCCTCTCCAAATGACTGTCTTGTTGGATCAAGGTTTGATAACACTCTGAGTCTTCAAACTCTAGATTTTTTCACCATCTTACTCTGTAGGCCGTGTGTAGCTCTTGGGATTGTTTGTGCAATCTTTGTTAGAGTAATAATCTAACAGGTTTGAAATCTACCTGAGGGAAATTAAGGCGAGTGTAATGATAACAGGTGTTCTCAGTTTCCCTCACTCCCACTCCCTTCCAGAATTACTACTGCCAGACTACATGAATAGAAACCAGCTGATGTGTTCTTTTGTTCCTGGCTTCCCACAGCGTCTCAACCATCACTGGAATTTGTGGGTGTGCTTCTCTTGTCAAGCTTGTGAAGTAAAACCATCTGAGGGTCTCTTCCAGGCGACAAGAAAAATGAGGTTGAGAGCCACTTCATTTTATTTTATTATTATTTTTTTTTTTGCACAAGAATATTGTGGAGAGCTTGTTTAAACTATAGACTCTTAGTCCTAGTGTCAGGGATGGATTTATTAAGTCTGGTGTGGGATCTAGGAATATTTTATGCAAGCACCTTGCAAGTGGTACTGATAGAAATGGTGCTTTGAGCAGTACAGACTAGTTTTCTTATCTCTGCCTCTGTCATTCTTTTGTTATTACATCTTATTCCACAAAAAATTTGAGGTAAAAAGTAGACTCATTAGGGCTTCCCTGGTGGCGCAGTGGTTGAGAGTCCGCCTGCCGATGCAGGGGACACGGGTTCGTGCCCCAGTCCGGGAAGATCCCACATGCCGCGGAGCGGCTGGGCCCGTGAGCCATGGACACTGAGCCTGAGCGTCCGGAGCCTGTGCTCCGCAACGGGAGAGGCCACAACAGTGAGAGGCCCGCGTACCGCAAAAAAAAAAAAAAGTAGACTAATTAGCAGATAACCAAAAACCAGTATAAAACAAAGTGCTATTATACCTTAACTAAATATGCAAAGTTTTAAACAGGATTCTGGTAGTCCTCTTATTCTACTTAATACATCAGATTCCCCACGCCAAATGAAAATACAAAGACCCAGCAGCTTGTATGAGACCCTTTCCTTGGGTGTGTTCTGTACATGCATGCATTTTCTAAAAGTCAAAGTAAGACTATTCTAACGCAGTCATTAAATGTTCACTGTAATTATTATATATCCATGTTTTGCAATCTTGTCAAAATTAGAGCCTGATTCACCTCTCCAGGCTAAGGACAATGGGACAGAAAGAAAAATGTGACATTGTGATCATATTCTCTAAAACAATGCTGTGTAACAGTACTCCCAGCCTTCTGCCCAAGGTTGGATACTTTGCTGAGCTAGTGGTTCAAGAGTGGCCTGCCTTGGTTGGAATAGGAGCAGATGTCTAGGGAGATTAGTCCATAGCCAGCCCTGTAGGGACAGCTGGGCCACCACTTCAAGTGATGTCTGTGGCAGAAGGGAGTGGATGTTATTGTGGGTGTTTTAGCTTACCAGATTCCTTTTCATTAATGACCTTGCAATTATTTGTCATGAATTTATCATCCATTAAATTGGTTTTTTGAGATGGTTATTTTTCAGAGGGGAACATTCACTGCTCTATTGTTTGTTTTGTTTGCAGATAAAAGTACTTAATTTCATCTCCTTCCTTCATTATTTGAAAGGGTTAGGGTTGCCATAAACCTTGTCAGTAATGTTAATTGTTTTAACTTGAAAAGATGCTTCAGATTTTGTGCGAAATGCAGCAGATGTCTAAATAAGTTAATTTTATAAAGAAAAAAGAGCTTTTGCCAAAAGTCACTGAGAATATATGTTTTCCTTTTTTCTCTTTTAAATTCACAGATTAGAATACAATTAATAGTATTTTAGCGTACAAGTAGAATTACTGTATCTCAGCATTTAAAAAAAGACTTGAAAGGGCACATTGCTATTTTGGATTGACAGAAATTTACTTTGTATTCTTGAGCTACAGATTAATCATATGTTAATAATATAGCTAATTGAAAGCCTGTTTTTTCCTGATAAAACTGGAGTTTAGACATTGAAATAGTGGTATCAAAATAAATACAATACAAAGAAGGTTGTAACCTCAGGCAAAGTAAAATCAGGCATAGTTAACACTTTGATTGTTTTCTATAAGCATACTCTTTTTAAAAAATATTTGTTTATTTATTTATTGGCTGCATCGGGTCTTAGTTGTGGCCCGCGGGATCTTTTGTTGCAGTGCACAGGCTCATTAGTTGCGGTGTGCGGGCTCTCTATTTGTGGCACGTGGACTTAGTTGCCCCACGGCGTGCTGGATCTTAGTCCCCAGACTAGGGATCGAACCAGCTTCCCCTGCATTGCAAGACGGATTCTTAACCACTGAACCACCAGGGAAGTCCCTATAAGCATAGTCTTGTACCATTATAAAGCATTTCCTTGTGCTCTATAATTGCATATGAGCTGAATGTACTAAAGAAACATTTAACAGAGAAATATTCGTTCCTTCAGTTGGCTTCCAAACACCTTCACACATTTAGAAAATGGGCAAGACATGACATAATGGTATTATTGGCACAAATTGTTGGGAAACAGATTTTTCCTTAGAATAAGGAAGAACTTTTTAATGATTAAACCCAGTAAAAATGGAATAGACTACCTTCAGGGAAGGTATTGAGTTCCCATCACTGGAGATTTACAAGAAGGGCTAGATATATACCTGCTGGGGATTTTGTAAAGTTAGACCATATACGTTTAAAGGTCTTTCCAACTATGAATTTGCCAATTAGATTATTTCTCCTACAAGGTGATGTATGAAGTGATTCTGTTACACAAAATAGTTTATTGAGCTGATATTATCTTTCTCTCTTACCACTTTTTTTTTTTAAATAGGCATACATACAGAAAAGTGAACATATCACAAATGTACCCAACCTGATGAATTTTCATAACCTGAACCAGTCCCGAGATCAGGAAACAACCTTAGCACCCTAGGAGCTCCACCCTTATGCTCACTTGCAGTCATTACCTCCACGACTCCAAGAGTAATCAATCACTCTCCTGACTTCTAACCGTGTAGACTAGAAGCTCGGTGCTGAGTTGCTGAGTTTTGTACTTTACATACATGGAGTCATTCTCTTTTGCATCTGGCTTCTTTTAACGTTATGTTTTGAAGATTCATTCATACTGTTGCATGTAGAGCATTCATTTCTTTGCTGTATAATGTTCCACTGTGAGACTGTATCAAAATTTACTAGATAGTTATTCTTGTACTTACTCTATTGGTGATGGCATTTGGGTAGTTTCTAGCTTGGGACTTTCACAAATAGTGTTATGAACATTCTAGTGCATGTCTTTTCATGGACATGCATGCACATTTCTGTTGGGTATATGTAGCTAGAGCTGCTTTGCTGCAGAATATGTCCACACTCAACTTTAACAGATACTGCCAAACAGGTTTCCAGAATGTTTGTATTCAGGCCTAGTTTTAATGGGGTCCTGCCGTATCGGAAATGTTAGTTTTTCTGAAATCCCATAAACCTTAAAAAAAAATCTTGCTTGTAGTACTCGATAACTTTCTATCTTATCCTACAGTTATTTTTGTACACTGATCCCTTTTCTAGAGTATAAACTCCTTGAAGAGATTGCTTTATTCAACTTTATATTTCCCAAAGTATCTTGCATAGAATAGACTCTAAATTTAATATTTTTATGTGAGTGGATGAGTAAATGAGGAAAAATTATATGTAGTATTAATAAGAAGAATGTTTGGAAATTGCAGAAATATAAGTAGCATACCCAATAAACTACAAGGGTGATCTTAAAGTGAACAGAATTAATTTATTAATATTAGCTCATAGATTTTCCTGAATTCTATAAGATACTCTTATAGGCTATTAATGTGGGAAAATAGAAGTTTGAATTGCACATTTTTATCTATTAGACTTAAACCCTGGTGTCATCTCTCACATAGAAGCATGTGACTATCATGTAACACTGAGCTAAATCTGTTAGCTGTGAATTTGAAGATTGGAGAGAGGGTGCTGGTGGAGGGTGAGAGGGAAGTCGTGCTTTGGAGTGATTATGACGACATTGTAACTCCAGTTGGGTTGCAGCTGTATACCAGATTCTTCCATGATTGGCAAGAAGGAATGATTTCACTCTACCATGGGTAAGGCCAGTAAGAGTTTTATGAGCCAGATAGAATTTTAATTGACCACTATTACTGTTGAAAACTGCTTAGTGAGGATATTTGGGATTTATGGGCGTTTCCCCTTAATGCTTTTCTCTACATTCCAAATTTTGTTCAATGAATACATATTACTTTTATTTTTTTTGTTTTTTATTTTAAAAACATTTTTTTTAATTTATTTTATTTTTTGGCTGCGTTGGGTCATTGTTGCTGCGCCTGGGCTTTCTCTAGTTGCAGTGAGCGGGGGCTACTCTTCGTTGCGGTGCATGGGCTTCTTATTGTGGTGGCTTCTCTTGTTACAGAGCATGGGCTCCGGGCACACGGGCTCAGTAGCTGTGGCACTCGGGCTCAGCAGTTGTGGCTCACGGGTTCTAGAGCTCAGGCTCAGTCGTTGTGGCTCACAGGCTCAGTCGTTGTGGCACATGGGCTTAGTTGCTCCGTGGCATGTGGGATCTTCCCAGACCAGGGCTCGAACCCATGTCCCCTTCATTGGCAGGCAGATTCTTAACTACTGCACCACCAGGGAAGTCCCCATATTACTTTTAAAATCAGAAAGTAGTTTTTAAAATAATTTGTGTTGTAAAAATTGCTACCTTGACTATCTCTTTCATTCCAGTCTTGGCCTAACTATGAAGATATCTTTAAAAAAATAATTGAAGTTGCCACATTTTTAGATTTGCCACGTTTTCCAGACGTAACCGAAGACTGCTATCTTCATCCAAACATCTTGTGTATGAAATACTTGATGGAAGTCAATCTCCCTGGTAAGTGTGTGGTGTATATAATGAACAAGCTTTGACTTACTAAATTGTTATGAACAATATATTGCATCTTCTCAAATCAGAAACTATTAGAGTCACCTGACAGGGTCCATAGTAACATGAAGCTTAATTTTAAAATCCTTTCTTAAAATATTTTGGACCATTTAAAATGGATAAAAGGACACTGTTCAGAAATAATTAGTTCTATTTTGGTGTGAGGGATTTTGAGAGAATATGTTCGGTTTTTACAGTAAGTTTGCTGAGTACAAGTAAAGTAACACGTGTTTCAGTATGTGTTATTAATTACCTAGGCACCCACTCCCCCCAGAAAAGCAGCACTTCTTCATTTGCATGAAGCATGATTATTACATAAAGAATTCTAATTTTAAAAATCCCAGAAGTTAATCTATGGTAACATTTTTGTTGTTCGCTAATATATTGCTATTTCCAGTCCCTAAAAGAAATGGAGTTCCAAGTCTGGTAGGATGAAACATAGAATGTGAAGACAGCCTTACTAGCTGTTGTTCACAATATACCAAGACACAGGTAACCTGAATGGAATCTGCCGATGGAATCCATTCTTGAATTTCTTGCTAAACTAGAAATGTGAGAAATGCAGGATTTCTATTCTTAACAGAAAATACAAACATGGTGTGACTATATTATTGCTTAAGCAATATAAAAAATGTGATTGAATGTATTTTTAATAGGGGAGGAAAATACATATGTTATATGAAAAAAGCAATATGTAAAACTGTATGTATGGTATAATTTTAACTATAAACATAAACATAAATTGGAGTAACATATACGCAAATGTAAATATTAAGTCTATACTTTTAAAATATTTTTTTAAAAAGGAAAAAATAATTTAAACTTTTCAAATACATTTATTTATTTATTTGTTTGTTTATTTATTTATTTATTTTGCAGTACGTGGGCCTCTCTCTGCTGTGGCCTCTCCCATTGCGGAGCACAGGCTCCGGACGCGCAGGCTCAGCGGCCATGGCTCACGGGCCTAGCCGCTCCACAGTATGTGGGATCTTCCCGGACCAGGGCACGAACCGTGTCCCCTGCATCGGCAGGCAGACTCTCAACCACTGCGCCACTAGGGAAGCCCCAAATACATCATTTATTAAGCTAAGGAATGTACATCTCTGGTTAAGATTTCAGAAGTCACTAGCCATTTGATTAAGATTCCAGAATTTGGGGACTTCCCTGGTTGTTCAGTGGTTAAGAATCCGCCTGCCAATGCAGGGGACACGGGTTTGAGCCCTGGTCCGGGAAGATCCCACATGCCACGGAGCAGCTGGGCCCTTGCTCCACAACTACTGAGCCTGTGCTCTAGAGCCCGTGCGCCACAACTACTGAGCCTGTGTGCCACAACTACTGAGCCCGCGTGCCTAGAGCCCGTGCTCTACAACAGAGAAGCCACCACAATGAGGAGCCTGCACACTGCAACGAAGAGTAGCCCCTGCTCGCCGCAACTAGAGAAGTGCTGTGCGCAGCAACGAAGACCCAACGCAGCAGCCAAAAATAAATAAATAAATAAATTTTTTTAAAAAAGACTCCAGAATTTGTAAAGTCTGATTTCTGCGCTTTGGCATGTTACATAGATCAGATTATTGTTTTGGATTTGGGTGTTTTTCATTTACTTTTTTGATGGTTCTTTCAAAATACGGAAAGCTCCTGTGTTCTCTCATATACTCCAAAATCCTGAGCTTATAATGGGAATGCTAAGATATGGAAGGAATACAAGGAATTACCAACGCATAACTGACACGGGCTGGGTTATGGAAAGTGTCTAGCTCACGTAGTTGCTGTTGGACAGAGATGAGGGTGGCAGTATTTTCTGACCACTGTGTGTGATATAATACTATTTCTTACCTAAGTCTTCCTGAGAGTAACAAGTAGAATTAAAACCATTATAATAGGCAGAGAGACACTACTAGCATCTGATATGTTAAGTGCCTTTTTGGAGACTGTATTAAAAAGAACCAGGATAGAGAAATTTTACTTCTCACAAACTGTTCAATAGAAATAATTTGAAATATAGAAAAAAAATTATACACAAATGTTATTGACCTCCTTATTTATACTGAAAAATTAGAAATAAATATCCAACAGAAAGGTAATGTTTAAGTAAACAATGTTATGTATATTCAGTGGAACATTATGCAGCTTTTAAAATCATGTTTGTGAAGAGTATATAAAACATGGCAAATGTTTATGTTATAATAAAAATGAAATGGGCCAAATTATAAAATTATATATAAGCATAGCTACATAAAATTAAAATATTCATTAAAATGTTAGAAATAAATATACCAAAATATTGAAGTGCTATTTCTAAGCTATGGCAATGCCTTTTTTCCTTTCTTCTACCTTTATGTATCTTGTAAATGTCCTGTACTGAGTTTGTGTTACTTAATTGTGGGGGGGAAACAACACACAAAATAGATCGACAGACTAACATGTAATAGTCCCTGCACCTTAGGATTTTGTTTTTTTCGTTAATTTATTTATTTTGGCTGCATTGGGTCTTTGTTGTTGCTCGCGGGCTTTCTCTAGTTGCGGCAAGTAGGGGCTATTCTTAATTGCTGTGCGTGGGCTTCTCATTGCAGTGGCTTCTCTTGTTGTGGAGCACAGGCTCTAGGCACACGGGCTTCAGTAGTTGTGGCTCTCAGGCTCAGTAGTGGCTCACGGACTCTAGAGCGCAGGCTCAGTAGTTGTGGCGCACGGGCTTAGTTGCTCCGTGGCATGTGGGATCTTCCCAGACCAGGGCTCGAACCTGTGTCCCCTGCATTGGCAGGCGGATTCTTAACCACTGCACCACCAGGGAAGTCCCTGCACCTTAAGATTTATATTGTAAAATGTGTCATTGATTGACAAAGCACCTGTAAGATTATAAGAAGACCTCTAGAATATTGCCATTTTCAAAATTTAAAGTTTGTTCTCTATAGTACTATCAGTTCTATGGTGCTGTTGATCAAAAAGAAGAAACCCATGTATTTGGCCCTTTCCCGGAAAGCTAAAAGTGGTTTTAAGCATACTGGGGCAACAAATGCCCCTCCTCAGTGCCTTTATGTATGACGGTGTCGTCTCTGGAACTCGGTAGAAAGGTTTTAGCAAGCATGTCACACACACCCTTACTGAGTAAGCACTGCCTCTTTGATGGCTTTGAGTGAACTCCAAACACATTTCTTAGTATTGTCCCTCATACTGGGACTGAGGAGCCTGCCAGAGAGAATTTCTGGCAGCTTTCACAATCAGTATATAATTTGTGGGGAACTTTATTACAGAGTTTCCAAAGTGCCCCATCTATATTACCTCATTTGTGAAGGTGGGAAGGGTGGGCAGGTGGGTATTCTCACTTATAGATGAAACATAGGCAAACTGAGTGACGCCTGGCTGGTAGATGGCTGAGTACATACTTAAATCCAGCCGTCCCATTCCAGAGCTAGTGTTCTTTCCACATAATGCTCCAGTTCAGAATCCTGTACTGCTTAGTTTTTCTCTGCTGTCCTGGCTTCCTTCCTCATAATTTCTTCCACTTGCTTTTTTATTACTCTGTACTTTTGGCATAAGAGAAAGTTTCAAGATAATTAATTTTAAATAAATTGGGGAGACAGTTTTCAAGAAATGCCATTCTTTATAGTAATAATTCTATATATAATAATATATACTATATATAATACTATATATGGTAATATATGCTGTGTGTAATATTGTATATACTACTATAAAATTAAAGTATTGTATACTACATTAAGAGAATAGAATCAATAGGATATAATGACTGAATGCGTGTAGGAGATTCAATACAATACAATTTATTATGCTCTTATAAATAATAGCCATTCTACTTGAATTTAATTAAAATAGAATATGGTACATCCTGGGTACTTAAATTAGTGAGTAAAGAAATTTACTCAGTAATTTAGAGTTTTCAAAGTATATTCACTTGTGCTATCTTATTTAATGTTTATCCTCACCATAACCCATTTTACAAATTAAAAAACTGAGGTTAGGTGACTCTAATTTGGAGTCACAAAGCTAATGATTAGAAAGCCTAAATACATAAGCCATAGATTTTCTGGCTCCAAGTCCCACATTATTCAGCCTTGAATAATAGATGCAGTCTGTGCTGAGCATATAGTTTCTTTGGGAAAGCAGTGCAGCTGGTGAGATGCACATCAGGCTTCCAGTGTGCTAGCCAGGCTTCCTGCTGGTGAGTGAGTGCATTTTTAGAGAAGCTCTTGGTCTTACAGGAGAGTTAGTTTCAGGTAAATGCAAATTGCTGTAGAAACACAGACAAGAAACATGGATGAAACAATAGAAAAACGATGTGTGGCTGTGCCTTAGGTGGCAAGATGTGTCCTATAAATAGCAGATGTTTGGGGAAGTCAAAATAGGAGAAGATACTCCTTGCTAGCGTTCAACCATTAATTTTTCTATACAAATATCATTTCTTGGTTGATTTTATTTACAAAATGTATGTCTCAGAGTTCTAGCATAGTATCATATTTTAAGATACACTTATCTCACAGATATACACATTAGTATAGTCTAGTTAGCCAAAGAATTTAATTCACGTTTTACTCTTTTATTCTTCAACAGATGAAATGCATGATTTAACCTGCCACGTGGTAAAAGTGACTGGAATGGGAGAAGTGGATTTTCTAACATTCGATCCTATAGCTAAAAAGGCAAAAGCTGTTAAATATGATGTACAAGCTGTAGCTGTCATTGTGGTGGTGTTGAAACTGCTCTTTTTATTGGATGACAATTTAGAATGGTAAGTGTATGTCAATTTTATGAGGAGAAAATTGTATTGCTTTTACCTAATTATTCAGAGTAAAGGAATCCATATGCTATATCTCAGTAGAAAATAGAGACTCTCAGGTGTTAATAGAACATTGACTAGTAGCAACAGTTACTTCGTACATAATATTTTGACTCAGCTAGTTGTGAGAGATTTCATTTTCCCTTAGTAGGTTGTTTGGATCATGTTTTCTTCCTATTTTTAGGTAGATACACGTGTTTCTCATTGCTCTACTGATTCCTGAGTTTTAAATCATCATACAAAATCCTAAAGAGTCATTTAGCACTTCATCTGTGTACCTTTAGGCTTCTGGCACTATGTGTCTTCAAAGATTATTTTGGAAAGTAAAAGAATCTTAAAATGGCAACAGAGTGGCAGTATTTATAGTGTCTCCTTCCCTGTTTCAGTGATAGCTTCTCCATTAAAAGTTGGCATCAGTTTCAAGTACTGTTCTATACGTTTCCTTCAGAAGAATTCAAAATATAACTGTCTTCCAATAAATGATTTCTAAATAAATTGATTTTTTTATTTGTATCTCCAGGTCTTTGTCTAATATTGCTGAGAAATATAATGAAAAGAATGAAGAAGGTACTTACTTTTTTTATGAATCAAATTCAAAGTGATTGTAAATGGTGGATTAAAAGATACAATAAACGCAGGGAAGAAACTTTGAGAAATATACACATATATGTACACATATATACAAATTGTACCTTGTACCAGAATGTTTTATATGTATAATTATTTAATTATATCTCAAGGCTACTAAAAAACCTCAGTGACTTCCTACTGTGTGTAAAGGCCAGCCTGCCTTTTCGTTCCCAGCTCCTACTCACTAGCCATACGAGACCATGAACTTACTGGCAGCTTTGTGAGTGTACCGTCTATTCCAGTGCCTTCAACCTTTGCTCGCATTGGTCCTTCTACCTGAAGTGTTCCTTCCTTCTTCCCCCCAACTCCTTCTGTCCCTGGCAAGTCCATCTTCATGCTTCAAGACGCAACGTAAATGCCCTCTTCGGCCTCTCTTCACACCTACTCCCCAGCTCACCTCTTCCCAAACCAGAACCGATGACCCTGCCACAGCCACTCCTGTCCAGACTTCTCTTAGTTGTTTAAAACACTGAATTGTAACTAGCGGACTAAGCATTTCTATCCCTGTTAGGCTGCCAGTATTTGTAAAGTGCCTGGAGTATCTGCCTCATAGTGACGGCTGTGTAAGTGACAGACAGGCAGACAAGTAGGTAGATTGCAAGCTTCTAGAGGGAGGGGCCATATCTTTTTTACTTTCTTTTTTTTAATGTATCTTTAATATTTAGCAGAGTGACTGGCCTAATATCCACTTAATAAAGTGTGGTAAATGCATGAATTCTTACATTCAATTCCAGTTTCTTAATGTCCTCACTAGGATTTATGTTCATTGTTTAATTTTTAATTTCAGCTTTTTTGAGGTATAATTGACATATAAAATTGTAAGATATTTAAAGTGTACATTGTAGCAATTTGATGTGTTTGCATTGTGAAAGGATTCCCATGAAGTCAATTAACACATCCATCACCTCTCATATTTACCTTTTTGTATGTGTGAGAATATTTACGTTCTCTCTTATTGCATTTCAGGTGTACAATACAGTATTACCAACTATAGTCACCATGTTTTACATTAGAACTTATTCATCTCACAGCTGAAAGTTTGTCTCCTTGTACCAATCTCGCCCTCTTTCCCGCACCCCTCAGCCCCTGGCAGCCCCTTTTTTACTCTATTTCTATGAGTCTGACTTTTTTTTTAGGAGTCCACATATATGTTCGTTGGCTCTAGGAGCTTAGGTTTAATGGTGGCATTAGTTTGTGTGTTCTTTCCAGAATGTGCAGCATGCTTCTTTCTGCACATTGCTTCATGTTGGCTCCTACATAGAGTAAAAGGTTGGACAAGATGTTTTCTGACGTTAAAGGGCCTTCATGGACTGTGCAGACATTTAGAGTAAAGGGTGCTTTGACATATTGTCTTCCTGTGACCCTCAAAATAAACCTACAGTGTCAGCAGGGCAGGGATTGTGGTCCCCATTCTCTCTGCTCCCTAGCTGTCCACTGTCCCCCTGCCTTCCCACATTACTGATGAGGAGTTTAAGAAGTTGTGACTCACTTAAGGTCAAAGAACCTTGTGTTCTATTAATTGTTATAGTTTTCCTTCTTCCTTATAGCTCTTCTGGTAGTTGCCTGTCCTCTGTGGCTCTGTTGCTCTGTGGTCTACAAGGCCATAAGTAATGATTATATTGGCCAGTTGAAAGATTTTTAACTAGACATTGAAGGTAGACTGTCTTCATTAGAGAATATATAAGAAATTCAGCCTGTCACTCAGCCATCCTCCTCCTGCCAGCCTTCCTTTCTTCAGACTTCCTCGCTCTCTAAGCCTCTTTCCTGCTTTACCTTGAATTTCATTTTTCTCCTCCCTACTCTTCCCATCTCCCCACATGGATTGAAGAAAAGAGTGAGGAGTGTAGTTTTATGCTTGACTATATATTCAATTCTGTTGTCTATCTCACCCTGACGTCTTGAACACACACTCACTCCACCTGTCCAATGCAATCCACTTTCTTACTTATCTCTAGAGTCTTTGGATTTGGATTAGGATTAGGAAGAACAGAAATAGGATCTGATGAAACTAGAAGTCTGGTGCCATTGCACACATCTAGCCATCGTTTGTCCCTTAATTCATGTATTCCTAGACGGATTGGAGCACCATCCTGTGCCAGGCACTGTGCTGGGATTTGGGTCAGGAGGAAGAGGCCTGATTGTGTAGTCTTCTACATAAACAAAATGTGTCTTCTGTTCTCAGGGGGGTGATAGTCAAATCTAGGAGAAACAGACATTTTTGGTTTTGGTATAATTTAGTTAGGGCCACAGTACAGGTAGGGACTCAGAGAAGGGAGTGACGGCAGATTACTCAGCAGTGGTGTTAGAGCATGGATACAGCAGCACCTCCCTCCGTAGTCTCCAAGGGCTGGTATATAAATGCTGAGTCACATCAGTGAGTGAAGACTCAGAGGAACAGTGTGTGTTATAATAATGTGACATATTTGGTTAATAATCATGGATTTCATTTCTTTCAGATAAGCCATGGTTTGATTTCAGAAAATGGTACCAAGTTATGAAGAAAGCTGTTGATGAAAAAAAACAAAAATGGGAGGAAGCCAGGGCAAAGTATGTTATCTCTTCTAGTTTTAGATTTACCTACTTTATTTTCAAGTCTGTTACTTTACATTTGAAAGCTGAAGTTTCATCAGTTTAGACTCACCAGCATTGTGACATTTTTTCTAGAACTATTGACCCATCTATCCAAATTAACTTTTTTCTTCTTTCTATTACTATTAACTAAACTAATAATGTCCTTTTTTATTAATGTCCTTCTTCTGATCCGGGATCCAATCCAGGGTACCATATTGTACTTAGTCATCAACTGTTTATAATTCGCATGACTCTCTTCTGCATTTCTGATATTCCTCCCTCTTTCCTTTCTCAAAGTGGATCATCTCCCATCTATGCTTCCCAATATTACAAAGATTACAAATGTCAGCCTGTGACATATGTAATTGGAATGTTCCCCCCAAATAAATTTCTCTATAAAAATCAAAACAAAGGAAAGCAGAAAGAAAGTAGTATAGTTAATTCAGTCCGTCTCACTGTTTGACTTTGAGCTCTCATTCTGACGTAGGTCCACTGTGGTAAAGTGGAAAGAGCATAGCGTTAGAGATAGTGCAGGGCTTGAATCCTGATTGTATGACAGCCAGCTGTTTGACTGTGGGCAAAGGACTTAAGTTCTTAGCCTCAGTGCACTAAAACATAGTTAGCTCATAAATTTTCAGAGACACTATCTTACGTAATATAGGGTACATTGCTATAGATCTCTGATTTGAACGGTTTTATATCTATTCTTAGAACTTGGAGTCTCTGTGAGACTTTGAAGAAAAAGTTAACATCTCTCTAGTTTATGTAAATTTACAGTAGTACTCATTTGATCAAGTAATTTTATATCCCTTGAGAAAAGTCAATGTTCCTCAAATTAGTTAAAATGATAATTCATTCAGCTCCAGTTTCCTCATCAATAAAATAGGGCTAGTAATGCCCGCTTTATACTCTAACAACTAAATTTCAGTTTTTGCAGGTAGAATTAGATTATTTTTCCTCTAAATTTAAGAGAGCATTTAAACAGAGAAACAGACTTATAGGGATGAATAAAGTGCTGTGGGAGAGAGGATCCTTGCCAAAAAGGGGAGAAGATGAGCAGTTTCTTCCTGTTCAGGTTGGATAATGATGAGGGAGAAGAGGTGGGAGGTGAACTTCTGAAAGCCGCGGGCCCCCGGGGAACTGGGTGGGCCCTTCCTCTTCCTTGTTGGAGAAGTCATTGGATCTCAGCAGGTATAAGAGTAGCAGCAAGAACGGAAGGTTATCCTGTGTTTTTAGGTTGTCCTGGAGAATCAGCCATTGGACCTTCATTTTGGGGGCCAGCTGGGTTGTCTTGACCGATACTGCGAGGCTAGGTATTCAGGGGCCATGCCACTTGGGCGTCTCAGTAGTGAATAGGCATTCATGAACTCAAACTGGGCAACAGCTTACACTTCAGACATAGCTATTAGAGCCCAAACTCATGTTGCAGTGCTACAATCAGTTGCACATCTAAGACTTCCTGACTTTTAGCTACTTTATGGGAGAATTTAGTGACCAAAAAAAGTACGTCTAGTATCAAAATGGCATTTTCCAGACAGACACCAGGCCCCAGGGAGGAGCTTGTCCAGGGGATCCATTACCAAGATCCTTCATAGAGTATGTGCTTTGGGCTGAGTGAGGTAACTTATGTAAGTCACTACTGACTGATGTGTGGGCACAGAGCCCCACTGCATGCTGATTACCTGTTTTACCCTACCCCACCTCCATTGTTGACGTAAATTTCTAATTTTCCTCTCTGTTCTTCTGGACATCATCTTCCATATTGTCAGGTAGAAGTTACTAAGCATGGGTCCCTATGCATGGGACTATGAAAAACACTAACAAACAGTAGTTGAAAGCCTAAAAACCCCTTTAGAGACTGCTTTGATGACTTCTAGTTTCCATGGAGATGTTGAGAAGAACATGGAGGAAAATTTCAAAGCACTTGCCAAAAATCTTTGCAGCCTTTTAGGTTAGGCAAAAATTTTATTAGATGTGATACCAAAAGCATGATTCATAAAAGAAAAAAAAGATAAATTAGACTTCATCAGAAGAAAGAATTTCTGTTCTTCAAAAGATGCCGTTAAGAGAAGCTACAGGTTGGGAGAAAATATGTGTGAATCACATATCTGATAAAAGATTTGCATCTAGAATATATGAAGAATTCTCATACAGTAAGAAAACAAACAATTCAGGTTTTTAAATGGGCAAAAGATTAACTTCACACAAAAATCTATATATGAATATATGTAGATATATATACTTCATTCACAGTGGCCAAAAACTGGCAACAACCCAGATGCCCTTTAGCTGGTAAACAGATAAACAGTAGCATATCTGTAAAATGAAATACTATTCAGCAGTAAAAAGGAACAAACTTCTGATACATCCAGAAATATGAGTGAATCATAAATACAGTATGCTAATGAAAGACTCAAAAGGTTACATATGGTCTAATTTCATTTTTTGACATTCTGGAAAAGGCTAAACTATAGGGATAGAAAAACAAATCCGTGGTTGTCTGAGATAAGTTCAGCTGTGGGTATGGAGAGGGGTTGACTGACTGTCAAGAGGCATGAGAGATTTTTGGAGTGTGGAACTGTTCTGTAGATTAATCGTGGTGGTTACACAACTGTATGTGTTTATCCAAACTAGTGGAACTGTGCACTGAACAGGGTCAGTTTTACTACATGTAAATTCAACCTTAATTTCTAACAGTGGGGAAACAAGTCACGTGGGGAGACTGGACAAACAAAGCATACAGGGCTTTGTGGCATCCTGGAGAAAATGTTAGGACTTTGTAGTGGACCTCTGTTTTTTTGTAGCTTTTGTAGTTTTGGGAAGAGGTAAACAAAGTAAAGTAAATTTTTAAAGAAGGACTATCTAAACAGCATTATCATTTTAGATCGCCCACTTATCCCATCTCCTGGGCATATGACCCCAAGGAAGTAAGAGTGCCTCCTTGACTATAGCATAATTGCCACCTGTATGGGCGTTTATTATAAATACATAAGAAAATCTATCTAGATTAGGTATTCACAAGGAATTTTTAACAGTGGGTTTATCTAGGGAGTGGGATTAGACTGTTTAGGGAACTTCTTTATTATTAAGAGATTTTTTACCTTGAGTATGTTGTCACTTATTATTTGATAATATAAATAACAAAAAGATATTTGAAAGAATCACAAATGAGAAGCTCTCTGAATATTTTAAATGTGGTATGGTTCATTAAAATTTAGTTCACCCATAATTTTCAGGAAGACCATCACCTATTAACCATGATTACACCTCTACATCAGAAGATGGGCACTTACAGTTCACTTTGTACAGGTTATCAGAATCAGAAGTACCAGTACTTCATCCTCAGCAGAAGGGCATTTGGCCAAAGACAGGGAGGAACAGTTATTTCTTAGGTGGCTCCACTTTATGAGAGCAGACAGCAAGGGAATCTTATGGTAAGGGAAGCTGTTTCTGCATTTTATTTATTTATTTATTTATTTTTTGCGGTACACGGGCCTCTCACTGTTGTGGCCTCTCCCGTTGCGGAGCACAGGCTCCGGATGCGCAGGCTCAGCGGCCATGGCTCACGGGCCCAGCCGCTCCGCGGCATGTGGGATCTTTCTGGACTGGGACACGAACCCGCGTCCCCTGCATCGGCAGGCGGACTCTCAACCACTGCGCCACCAGGGAAGCCCCTGTTTCTGCATTTTGATGTAATTAATCATTTCTTTGGGATCTTATGGCATCTGGGAGCCTTTGGGGAGGAGCATATCTTTCTGTGGCCTTGCTGCCTCCTTCAGTGCTACTTGCCTGCTCCTAGGTCATAAGCTCTATACAGACATGTGTCAGTAGGTCATTCTAAGTCAGAGCTATTACACGGGGTATCACGAATTTCAGACACTGCTTTAGAGAAACTTCTCTGAAATGTGTTGAGGTCCATTTATTCTCCATCCTGCTCCAAATGTTTTTCTACCTTGTACAGGTATCTATGGAAAAGTGAAAAGCCACTCTACCACTCAGCGATTGACAGATCAGTGGTGTATAAAAGAAGGGGTGAGCTGCATTTCCTCTTGTTAATGCCAAGTAACAATACAGTTGTAGAAAAGCTAAGTATCTTAACTTGAAAAGTAAACGCTTATGTACTTTCTTCACTTCTTTAGGAAGTGTTCCGATGTACATCCAAAGAGACATCATCCTCTGCAAGAAATGTCCATAGGAATCTTATCTATTTATTTCAGGAACATTGCATTATTCAAAACAGAACTTAAGTTTCCACCAAAATCTAAAATGCCATATATCTATGACTTTCAGAACTCTTTATCTGGAGAACTGCCTTTAGGTTGTTTTGTTCATTCTTTTTTTTTTTAATTGTGATAAAATGTACGTAACATAAAATTCACCTTTTTAAAGCCTTTTTAAGTAGTTCCTTGACATCCTCATCCACTGTCAGTTTCCCCTAGTGTTATGCTCTTATATCGCCATGGTGCATTTGTCAAAACTAAGAAACTAACATTGGTACATTACTATCAAGTAAACTATAGACTTTATTCGTGACTTAACATTAGTTTTTATTTTATTCCTTTTCTTTTTTCCTTCATTTCCAGAAATGGTCGTGAGTCTACAAAAACAGTTTAGCACACTGGTTGGTTCAACACCAACTGTTGAAAAACAAAGCCCTTCAAGTTTTCAGTTCAGCTGGACCGAAGAGGGCAGTGATAGAACTTGTTTCCATGGGCATAGCCTCCAGGGAGTCCTGAAGCAGAAAGGCCAGTCACTGATGACCAAGAATTCCCTCTATTGGCTGAGTACTCAGAAATTCTGTAAAAGGTATGTGATGCTCTTAGAAATGACAGGATAAAAAACATGATGAAACTTCTAGTTTGGCCTGAAGGAGTTGGCTGTAGTAAGAGCCAGATAGGTTATTTGTTGGAATTAGAAGGTGGTGAACTTAGAATCAAGACACTCAGAATTACACACTGAGTGCTGTTTAAGGGATGGGCGTGTTGACTAACCTCACGGTGATAATCATTTCACAATATACACATGTGTCAAACCATCGTGTCGGACTCCTTAAACTCACATATGTTGTATGTCAGTAATATCTCAATAAAGCTGGAAGAAGTTTTAGATTATAAAGACTTTTCTGATTGTAACCTTATATTTTTATACTAATCTCATTCCCATATTGACATAGGAATTGTCTGTAAGGCACATTCCCATAGTTAAGAGGACGTGCTCGTGAATCCAGCTGTTCATATCCCAGCCCTGCCACTCGCTCGTGTAGGCAGGTTATCTACCATCTCTACAGCTCTGTTGCCCTGATTGTAAACTCAGGGTATGGTACTGACCTTCCTCCCCTTCTCAAAACCTCTAGCAGCTCCCATCTCCTTCTGAGTAAAGTCAGGAGAGCCTGTGGGGCCGCCAGCCCCGCTCCTCTCTGCCCTCCCGCTCCTCCGCGTGCCACACTCACCGCGCAGGTTCACACCGGCCTCCTGGCCGCTCCTGGAGCTTGCCAGCCACACTCCCCGCGCAGGCCGTGGCACGTGTCGTACCTTCAGCCTGGAATGCTCTTCCGCCGTGTGTCTACAGAGGCTCACTTCCTTCAGGTTTTTATTCAAATTTCACTTCCTCGGAGAGGCCTTTCTTAGCCATCCTGTCTAAAATATCAGAGCTCTGCCCTCACACCCACACACACTTCATCACTCTCTAACCCCCCTGCCTATCTTTTTTGCTTATAGCTTTTCTCACTATTGAATGTATTATTATATATATAACGTACTGTTATATATTTATTACATATTATTATATATTTATTTATATTATTATACATACACTAGAATGTCAGGTCCTTGAGTGCAGGGACTCTGTCTTATTTAATGAAAAATCTCAGAGACTAGGACAGTGCGTAGCACATGGTAGGTGCTCACCAAGTATTTGTTGAATGAATGAATGGAAAATAGAAGCTGCCTCATAGGGTTTTCATGAGAATTAAATGAGATGTATGGTGTCTGTCACATAGTAAATACTCGATAAATGATAACTATGATCATTTTTTTAAACAAAACTAATTTTCTGTTGAAGAGTTTAACTTCCTGAGTTGAGTATCAATCAAGATAAATAAAATGTAGAAAATACAGTAGAAGATACTAAAAGGAAGTTATCTGTATTAAAATTTACTGCTCAAAAAAACTTTAGCCGAGTCTAGAATGGTTAAGGAATATAACTGTCTTAACAGCAACCACGGAAGGCCAGAATCCCAACCTTCGGTCAGCTCCGCATCTGGGGTGATACAGGCCTTTGAGCAGTCAGTGCAATGGCTTTTTTATAACTGATTCACTTTGTTATAAAGCAGAAACTAACACACCATTGTAAAGCAATTATACTCCAATAAAGATGTAAAAAAAAAGATTTAAGTTTTCCTCGAGAAGAGGAGAAAAGGCTGTAGCCCTGTCCCGCGAGGACCGGGCCTGTTAGGACGTGGCGTGCTGGTGCTGTTGTGTCTGCAGAGTCAGCCTGGGGAAGTTAGAGGGGAGCCTGTACCCTACACTTTTCACGTCGCACGATCAGTGGACTTTTGGATGTTCCTCATGGGTTTAATACTGTAATAAAAGATAGTTAGTTACAAATAAATAGACCTTGGTATATCGGAGATGAAACAACCAAGATATTTTTCTCTGCAGGAATTACGAGGCTAAACACCAAACCATGTAGACGAACAATTTTATGATCCCATGATTTTATGCACCAAAATCATCCATCGAGTCACTTGCCTATTTAGACCATAGCCTAGAACCACAGAGTAAGCAAACAAGGGTTCAGCTAACCTATCAAAAGGTCACTGAGTCCATGACTAAAGCTTATACACTTTTCTCAGAAAGCTCACTCGAGCCTGCTCACTCTGCCTGGAGGTGTGTTTCTGTCAGGCTGAGTTGTCTGATTTCCAAATTCCTCATCATCAAAAGAAACAGGGTAGGCAGGAGACTGAGAGGTGTCTGCTGATAAGCATCTTGACAGCAAATATAAATGATATTCATTTGACAAACAACAGAGGAACCAGCATCAGAAGCAGAAGCAGACAAAAGAACTCAAATTACAGTGGTCTGAAGTTCATTCATGACACACAATAGCTCCACAGAACTAAATAAACCAGACCATTGTCTCAGCTTTAACACAGAAGGTGTCCCCAAATTGTGTGCATCCTCTCTACCTGTATTTTCTAATATTTCCACAATAAAAGTGGACAGGTTGTCACAATATAATTGTAAAGGCTTTAACAAATATGCTGAATATGCTTTGCTTAATAATAACCAAGTAATGTATAACTGAGTTTTAAAAGATTTCCATCCAAAATGGTCACAATGAAATGTTTTGATGCTTAAGAGAGCAGATCTTCAGCTACATGGAGAATTTTGTTACACAGAAGGACTCATTTTTGCGGGTTCAGAAGAGACAAACATTGTACTATAAAATAATTTTGAGAACACTCAGGCCTTGAGAACTAAGCAGAGAGAGGCCGCAAGAGCACTTCAGATACTCGAAGGTGTTTATCCTTCTTCTCTGAGGCAGAGCCAACAATCTTGATGAATTTAAATGATTATATATTATATTTGGTTTTATCACTTAAAACTTTAGGAAAATTTAAACTTTCTGAGTTTATGAGAAGGAATGTAATCCTTAAAAGATATTGTTGATTCAACTTAGAAATAAAAAGTCTTACTGTAGCAGATACTTCGTACACCTTTTCTTAGCTTTCTGTTGTAAAAATAGAGTTTTCCTTATGGTCCCTAGGCAAGAGAACAATATTTTTACCCTTTTTGTTGGTAATATTTTGTCTGAAAGAATCTCTTAATATAGCTAAAATTAAAAGTTAGAAAAGAAGAAAAGCAAGAGGGCACCATCAATGACTTACATTTGATTTTTCCATTAAACCAGTCAATGCACAAACAGCTGAGGCTTTTCAATTTCCTACTAGTGAACATAGTAGGGTATTAGCTTGTTTGTGTATTATTAAAATAGGCTTAAGATTTTAGGTGAAAATTTAAAAATCAATTTTAAAGGAATGTAGGGAAAGTGAACAATTTTGAGCCCTTACTGTGTGCCAACCATTGGTTAAGTGCTTCATATATATTCTCATGCAATCCTCTTTTCCATCCTATGAGGTGGTACTGTTATTTTTTCCTGTTTTACAGATGAAAGAACCAAGAGTAGTTACCCATAGTCACAACTGATGGGTGGCAAACTTTGTGGTGCAAATAGAAACATTCCTTCAGGAATTTAGGGCCATATATGTTATATAAATCATAATATCTATACATTTATATCCTCTGTGTACTGTTCACTTGTTTTTTAAAACTTTTTATTATGGAAAATTTCAATTGCACTCAAAAGCAGCACGATATCATGAACGCCCCTGTACCCGTAGCCACCCCACTTCAGCAGTTGTCTACATGGCTAGACTTGCTTCCCCCATGCCCCAACTCCCTCACCCCTCTGCTCCTAGATTATGTGGAAGAAAATCCCATACATTGTAATTTTCTTAAATAAAACCATGGTACCATTAATCAGACATAAAAAAAAACTAATAGTAATTCCTTAATCTTGTCAAACAAGCAGCCAATGTCTAGATTTTCCTGATTGTCACGTAATTTTTTATTTTTTTTATTTTTTTTTTGCGGTACGCGGGCCTCTCACTGTTGTGGCCTCTCCCGTTGCAGAACACAGGCTCCGGACGCGCAGGCTCAGCGACCATGGCTCACGGGCCCAGCCGCTCCGCGGCACGTGGGATCTTCCCAGACCGGGGCACGAACCCGTGTCCCCTGCATCGGCAGGCGGACTCTCAACCACTGCGCCACCAGGGAAGCCCACGTAATTTTTTAAATAACGCAGAATCCAAGTAAAGTCCATACATTGCAGGTGGTAGAGATATCCCTTAAGTGCTTTAATTCATAAATTCCCCCTTTATCTCTTTTTTTTCCCCCTTGCAGTTTACTTATTGAGTAATCCAGGTCATGTGTCCTGTACAATTTCCCATAGTCTAGATTTTACTAATTACAGCCCATGATACCACTTAAGGTGTTCTCCTGTCGCCCTGCTTATACCTTGATATAGTTAGAGATTGATAGAGTTAGCAGTTTTAATTAGTGTTTTAGAGATTTTATGGTAGTGAGAGATTTGATCAGATTCAGGTTCTACTACTTTAAAATAAGCAAAATTGCTTTGTAAACTCTTCTTTCTATAATGCATACAGAATTGCAACATACATTATTAAGTCTGGCGTCTTGTTTTGGATGGGAGTTGGGATTATTTTTTTTTCTTTCGTTTGTTTTAAAATATGTCCAGAATCTCTCTCTGTCTGCTTTTGTTTGTCTTGACCATGGTAAGAAGAGGGGGGCCCACCTGGAGTGGAAGAAGTCATGAGACCTGGCTCTGTACCACCTGTGTCCCATGGCATGGTGGCCAGGGACAGTGCTGAAATCTTTTTCCTTTATAAAATTTAGGATTCCTTCCAGATTGTTCTCTTTTCTTCCAGCTCAGAGTACTATTTTAAGCCTAACCATATATATTTTTTAAGTTATTTGGGGGATGTTCAAGGGATGGATGCATACGTTTCTAAAAGACCTTTAAATGTAGTGTCTTCTTTTTTCTTCCCCTTCTAGCTATTGTAAGCATGTGACAACCTACGAAGAATCAAATTTCTCTCTGAGTTATCAGTTTATACTAAATCTCTTCTCCTTCTTGCTAAGAATAAAGACCTCCCTTCTCCATGAAGAAGTGAGCTTAATAGAAAAGAGACTTTTTAAAGCAAAATACAGTACAACAAACAAGAA